ATTCATTCTTTTGTAAAATTCATTCAACAGATAATCACAAATAATTGGGGTAGCTAGGTAAATTCATACAATCTTTTGATAGGAATAGGCCCCAATTAGTTCCTATGGGAGGTTAGTGATATTTTATAAATTATAGGGGAGGTGAGGGCTACTGAAAGAAACCTCAGGGAAGAGGTTTCCGCAATTATCCAAAAAAAAAAAAAAAAAAAAAAGTTTCTAGCGCTCCATCCTCTCATTCACTTAAAAAAAGACACCCTGAATTAGATTGAGGAAAGGACTAGGACTGAGCCTGGCAACTAATATAGATCCCGTTTGACAAATGAATTTTTTTGATGTTTATCTAAAATTTTATTGTAAAAGCTGTAAAAAAAATTTATAAAGTGTGTAAAATTTTTAAATATTTTGAAGTATATAATTTAAAATTTTTGAGAACTTTTTTGAAATTATTATAACTATAATTGTTAAAAAATTTATAGCAGATAAACTTGACCAAAAATTATTTACCAAATATGCCCATAAAACTTGTTCAAACTTGGCATAAAATTACCGTGCATTGCGATTTCCAGATGGTTTTTTTTTTTTTTTTTATTAGTATTATTAATGACTGAGGGACTACCTTTGTTGTGACCGCAAAGCCCAAAACGTCCAATCTGAACATTACCAACTGCTGGGCCGCTCCTCAATATTCTGTTGATGGACAATAATTCGAGATGCCTTCTGTAGGCCCCCAACCAACCGCTACACGTAGCCATCCATATCAATATGCACTTATTTATTACTACTGCTTCAACGTCATCAAGTGCTGCCCCCATTAACACTCCTTCTGTATTGTATTCCATCTCTGTAGAGCAAAGTATGCAATCATTCATTCTGTGTTTGCATACTCAAATTTTTACGAATATCATTTTATTTTTATCATAAAAATGCATTTCAACAATTTTTAAATCGCGGATACATCATATTACCCCCCCAAAAAAAAAAAAAGAAAGAAAGTACTAGCAATTATTTTTAATAATAATATTCCATCCAAACACACTACTGAGTCACTAGTACCATCTCTTTGTTGAACAACAATTACCACTCTTAGACTGTACCCAGCCAGGTGGAATAGAAGACTGAACCCAGCCAGGTAGGCTACCCGTACAAAATGTGGGGATAAATGCACGAGAAAATATTTTTTTTTTCAGCTCTTGGGCCGGTTCAAGAAAGAATTTGGAGTAAATGAGGTTGACATCGATCGCTGGATTCAGAATTGTGTGATGCCCTAATTTCTGTCCCTCACAAGACAAAGCATACAAAACAGTGGGGGATAATCTTTGTCCCACACAATTCAATTTATGCAAATTTGGCTACTCTTTATGGGACTGCATCTGCAGAGGTGTCAGTAACGAGCGAACAAAAAGGATAGGGACCAAGGCCAGTTGAATTATCCTTTTATATATACGTATCCTTATATATATATATATATATATATATACATATGTAAAAGAGGATAATCAATGAGGGTGCATCCATAGGAATTTTTGGGTTGGAAATGAAAATGGTGAAAGAATTTTACCAAACAGCAGGCAGCAAGTAATCAGGATCATTAACTTTTCCAATTTCCACGCTAAAAAGGGTAAAGGGCAGAGGGGAAAGGGAGACCGCCACCAAACAGGCAATAATTAATACAGTAGCCTTATAGTAACATTTTATAATAATACGAGGGTACATAGATTGAACCACCGGCGTTGCTCCAGCCGTGAGTCGTGTGAAAAGAGGGCTCGTACAGCTCCTTTTTTGAGAGTTTTTAAAGAAAAATTACTATAACAATTTTTAGGATGTGATGTCTAAATTGCATTTTTTTTGAAAAGTTTTTAAAGAAAAATTACTATAGCACTTTTTTAGATTATGATATACGTGAAGTGAAAATGTGATTAACAATTGTGTAGAATAAAATTTACGAGGAAAAAAAAAAAGATGAAATTTGCCTGTGCAAAGACACAATTCAAGCTGCCCTTTGCTTCCCAACTTGTGCTATTACCAAATCTAGTAGGCAAAGGTGCTAATCCGGTAATATTGCGACGAAAATATAGGAGTGAATTCACAACTACTCCCTCAATTTCATTTTGATAGATTCATATAATTTAATAATAGTTAGTTAATTTTGTTAGAATAATAAATCTAACTCACTAGCATCTTTCTAAAATATTCTTACATTAAATGGAGTATGGCTAATTAGCTCCGTATTGACAACTTGCATTAAACCGAGGACTACTTATATGAAGGATCAGGGCCCAAATGATAGTCAGGAAAATTAATGAGCGTGCTTGGACAGTGATTATTTGGCTAAAAATTATTTGCTTGCAACACAGATATAATTTTTAACAAATATTTTTATCTGTTCAATCATTTTTTTTAATCTCGCATACATTATATCATAAAAAAGTGTTACAAGAATTATTTCAAATACTTCCTCCGTCCCACTTTATTAGTCTTGTTTTCCTTTTTCGTCCGTCCCAAATTATAGTCCACTTTCCCATTAAGAAATGTAGTAATCTTTCAAATTGTCTAAAATACCCTTATTAAATATCTTGTTATTAATACATTGTTATTAAATACTAACCCACTACATTGAATACATTGAGTTTTTCCAATACATTGAATACATTGACTACATTGATTAGCATAAGGGTATTTTAGGAAATTATTAATCTAAATTTATGTTTCCAACCAAATTAATTACACTTTCTTAATCTGTGTGAAAAAAAGACCAAAACTAAGAAAACGGGACGGAGGGAGTAATATTTATTTCACATGATATAACTCACTTCTAACAACTTATAAATATAAAATAAAATTTTATGAGTCCCAGACACGCGCACGTGACGTTAAAATCGATGTGCAATTTGAATCTTCGATTTTATTTTGGTCAAATCACGGCCAGAGGTCAACCTGTAGTGCCCGCCGCCTCGTCCTTTTTCATCACCTGTGAGAATAATTTCAGGTGTTCATATTTTCAAAATCCAGGTGGCAAAATTTTAGGCCTGCTTTCCACGCGTCACAGTGTTGTATGTTAATCGTGATTGTCCACCATCGAGGACAAAAAAGAATTCATGATGATTGTCCACAGGGAGCCCCAAAAAGTGAGGCGGATGCTGGTGCTTTAGCGGATTGAGAGATTGGCTCTGGTCTCCATCATCGTCTCCTCTCCCCAGTTTCAACACCGGAAAAGCCCCTAGTCAAGCCTTTTTGCGCTGCTGCCTACAACTTGCGTGTGTATTTTTTTTTATTACCCAAACCAATCGCAGGAAGGAATCAGAACACACAGCGCCAAAAAGGGCAGCGTGTGTGTCAAACTAACCATTTGGATAAAGCCATCTTCCTCACTCACTGGGCCGCCCCACCCTCCCCTTGAGTACTAATAATGCACCCACTGTAGCGTACGCATAAATTATTGTTACCGTATCCAATAATGCTGTCTCGGTGTCAACAGCCAACAGCTAACCGGACGGAAGGACCTCTCCATCAAAACCCAGAAAAAAAACTACCAGTCGAGTAGTGTAGTGTAGTGTAATTTCCGGTCCCATCAATCACGATACTAGCACTGGTAGGAGAGTGTATCTGCATTTTTCTTGATCCTGTCTTCCGAAGAAACTAAGCTGGTCTAGTCACCCACATTACTTACTTACATCTGCAGCCAGTAGGGAGCTCAGCGAACGAGCTTTTACTTGGGATGGTGTGGTGTAGTATATCTGCGCATTTTGCCACATATTTGTCTGCTCCCTCTCTCTCGAAATTTCTCAAGAACCAAAAAGATCTATCAGAATCATTAATTGACACCACTTTCTTCTTCTTCCCTTGCGAAGTACTAAGTAATAGTTAACTCTCCAAAATTCCACAAATTTTTTTTTTTTTTTAGCCACGATACATTTGTATAACCTACTCTATCCTAATCTAGGGGAGGGGAAGCCTAAGGAGGCTGTTGTAGGGGCTAGCGGATATACAGACCCAACTACTCTATCCTAATCTAGGGGAGGGAGAGCCTAAGGAGGCTGTTGTAGGGGCTAGCGGGTATACAGACCAAACTAGACCAAGAGAGTACTATGGCACAATTTTTGAATTTTTTTCGCTATTGGTGAGATTTGAACCCTCACTGACAGTCCAAAGAGGGACTTAAGTCCCTCTCTGGTGGCCGCTGAGCCATTGGCCAGTGGTTCCCAAAATTCCACATTCGAGTTCCTAATAGTACAATCAATCAGTGATGATGATGATGATGATGATGATGATGCAGAGAGAAAATTCATCAAATGTGTATTATTTGTAAAATTACCAAATCCAAACGCTGAGCTCCTCAAGTTAAGGGCAGCAGCAAATAGCAATAAATGCCATTTTACATGTTCAAACTCTCGAGTCAATTATTGGGCCTCCCATGTTTATTAATCATTATGGTATAAAGAATAATATTTATGGCATTAATCATTAGTCATTACCCGTAAAAAGAAATATCCCAAACTATTTACTATGATTCTACACCCAAACTGTTGTGTATGCCAAGGGGAAAAAGAAAACACAAATTTAAAAAAAATATTAGTTCCATTACTTTTCCTTTATTTGCGAGCTCCTTCAGAACAGGAGGAAGAATGGAAAGAGCCGAAATTGAATGGCATTTTTATTACTGCTGTAACTTCGAAAGCTTTGTAAAATACCAACTCTGTTCTTGAATGGCTTCAAACTAAGATTTTAATGACATCCAAAATTGATCATCCCATTTCCATCTTAAACTCCCAAAATATTAAAATCTCCTTTTTTTTTTTTTTTTTTTACCCTTTCTTTTCTCTTCTTTTTTCCTATTCTATCCTCAACCCCCAAACTAGCCATACATAACTACTAGTATTACTTTTTGGCCACCAAATAAAATAATCCATATGTAATACGGAGGAGTACGTTGGCTGCTGCTAGGCCACCCTGAACTCACAATTAAAAGTGTGCAAATTATAACACCCAAAAAGCAAAAAATTGACAGGAGAAGCACAGAAACGTCACATTTCATTGGCCCATCAAAAGTACCTATTATGTCTTCACCAACATTTTCGTAATGCTTAGCTACTAAGCAAAGACTTCAATGCACAAGAAGGACTGAAAACAGGTATGCAAGCAGAGTCCATGATGAAGTAGTCCACCTAAGTAGCGAGTACTAATAATAATAATTATTGATTACTCAAAGAAGCAGTAGCAGCAGCTAAAACTTGAAATTTCCTGCGGAGAAAAACAGAAAAGAGAATTCAGCCACATTTCCATTTGCAACCGGGAAAAATTATTAATATGATTCTTGGCCAGCCCAAGAACACACCACTTTAGCTCAGATTCTTGTTAAGTAGTAGCAGTAGTATTTTGACAAGAGAATAAACAAATGGCTCGTGAAAGGAGGAGCATCTTTTTACTAAAGTCCGAAAATTTTTATATACTCGACTCGAGAAGGAATTTTGCCTACCACATTTCCTTTTCCTCGAAATAATAATCATAATAGAAAAGAAGAAGAGATTTCTTCCTCCTCCTTTTTCTTTTCTTTATACATTCGGACTCCAAAGACTCCATAAACGCGAATTCAGCAGTCCCAACACATCCGGCAACACTTTTCTAGCTAGTCCTTTGTGGTTGCTCGCCGGCGCCGCTCCTCTCACAATTATAGCCGTCTCCGGCGCAGCCTCCGTCACCACATCCTCCTCCTCCTCTTTTACCACTATCAGGGCCGCCGCTGCCGCTTCACCAGTATCTCCACTCTCAGGCACCAATACCCCAGCTGATGACTCCGGCGAGAAAGCCTCATCTTGCGGCACAGAAGAGCTACTCTCTTGAATCTCCGGCGATCCATTTCCTGCTTCGGGCAGCGGAAAATCCACTAATTTCTGAGTCCCACGCCGGCCCATTTTGTCTCTTCTCTTGTTCTTCCCCTTCTTGGACTGCTCGCCGTTATTCAAGTGCTCCTCGAAGGCTTCTATGGCTTGGTGGATAAGCTCCCGGTTAGGTGAAGAATCCCACCTAAACCAGTAGCTAGTGTAACAATCAAAGCACTCGCAGTCAAACAAAGGAGTAGTTTTGTGGAGGTGGGCACCGGTATTTGCTGATTTTTTGGAGTTTTTCTTGGATTTTTCATCGACAAGAGCTGATGGGTTGGTAGTCTTGATGGACCTAGTGATCATGTAAGCCAATACTTCGCGGTCCTCGAGAGAAAGGACTGCTGCTATAGCAAGAATAGCAGCAGGCAAGAGTTTTAGAACAGATAAAGCATCTTTGTTGTTGTGGTGGGAGGAATGAGACGAAGAGGAGGAAGAAGATGACGGGGAAGGATGGACTTTACCCTTGTTCCGCATTTTCACATTTCTCTCTTTTTTGGCCAAAAAAGATCTAAAGGGTATCACGGAAACGATATGGTCATAGATGGTAAAAGGGCTATGTAGAGAGAGAAAGGCTTTTTGGGTTGGGGGATTGAGGGGGTTTTGTGGTGGGAAGGGGCAGAGGGGAAGGCGATAGGGGTGGGGTCGGGGGTGCTGGAGGAAGGTAGGGTTTGATTTTCTTGATGGCCACGGTAGACCAGAGAGAGAAACGAGAAGGAAGGGGAGTCCTGGGAGATCGAGCGTGGGGCTACAATTTCTTATATAGTGTTAGGTTTGGACCGGGGCTTGGTTGGTAAAAACAATAATGTACACTTTTCGGTGCTAAAAGCACTGCTGTTGAAGCGTTTGATGAGTATCATTCAATGAAACTAGGAGTGGAAAATTTTTTTTTTTTGTTGAATTCGCCAAAGTTTGGACCCTGTTTTTGGAGTGTTTTTTAAAAATTAGTTTTTTAAATATAATAATTTTTTTAAAATAATCTAAAAATTAGTTTAAATTTTTTAAATATTTTAAAAACTCTTCTACTTTTAAATATTTCAAAGTATTTTCTAAATATATTCTAAAATATATTTTAAAAACTTTACTACAGCAAAATTTTTCAAAAACACCTCCAAAAATAACTAATTTTAGAATAATTTTTGTGTTTTAAAAATAAAATATTAAATTTAATTATTTAATCCTATATTATGAAGTAAATAAGGATATAAGTACATTTAAAAATTTAAAATTACATACTATTCAATAAAATAAGTATATATTAAAATATGTAATTCAAATAATATACTTAAAAATATATTATTAGGTAAAAAACTTATTTTTTATTAAGTTATCACAACTCCAAATAGTCCCAAGTTCCGACCCTGCGTTGCATTCATGATAGTAGTAGGCTGGTGTAGCACTCTTTAGTTTTCGTTAGCTTTTGTCTCTTTTAATTTCTTTGCTAACTATTTTTTTTAGGTTATTTGAGGTCAAGAAGTTAAAGTTGGCGTGCATTAAAAAGCCGGACAAGTGAGGAAGGAATGTCCACGGAAATATAAAGAAACTTGCAAATTGAAGAAACAAAGAGGTTTCATTTGTTCTGAACAAAAATGTGTTCTGAACTTATGTTATAATAAGTTTTGAAGTGTATTATGCTCACGTGATTGTTTTTGGGTATTTTTTTAAGAAAACTATATGGGTGGGATAACGTGTCAGAAGTTAAGTTTACTTCTAAATTAATAATTTTGTTTGGAAAGTCATTTTTTCGTCAAAATTTTTTTATATTTTTTATAAACACATTTTTAATTACCTTTTTACCTCGCATATATCAAATCGCTATAATATATTTTATACAAAAACTTCAAAAAATTACAATCCAAACAAGACAAAAAATATGAATTTAAAATCTCTTATTTATAACTCTTCCTAATTTACTATCCAATCCAATCAAACCCTTCCCAGCTAAGTTGAATTAGACAAAGATTGCAAAATTGACGGCATATAATGACTGTTGGAGCGATAGCTCTTTTAAATTAAAAAAAATAACAAACAAAAAGAGCAAAACCAACGCAAATAAAAAGTTGGGTCGGGTGGGGGATTTGGGCCAGCGGCTTGCCGGGGAAATTTTTTTTTTTTTTTGGGTTAATCACATTTAATCCCCTTAAAGTATACCCAATTTTTCAGTTTATCTCCTAACCTTTAATTTTGCTCACTTAGCCCCCTATAGGACAAAATTGCCCTTATATTATTTTGACTTTTCATTTACCTTGTTTTCCTTTCTTTTATTTCTTTTTCGTTTTTTTCTTTATTTAATTCTTTCTCTTTCTCACAAAAATCTTCACCTTAATGATTGAAATTAAAAAAAAATGAATTGCAGAGATCTATCTTCTCCTTAAATGATTAAAAAAAATATTCAAATCACTTTCCTAAAATACAATTTTTTTTAGCCTTTCAATTCTTTTAATTTTGGATTTTCTTCTTTCCTTTCTAGTTTCTCATTTTATTCCCAAGAAAATATCTTAAGATGAAATTGTGACATGGTTAATAATCATCAATTAAAATGTGTGACACGTGGCATCATACAAAAAATCAAAATTAGTTTTTGATGCCTTTTAAATCTTCACATAAAAATATGCAATTACAAACTCAAAACAAAAATTTTCGTTGAAATGGAATTTTCTGTTGGGAATGACGAAAGAGAGAAGAAAGAGAAAAAGAAATAAAAGAAAGAAAAACAATTTCATCTTATGATATTTTCTTAAAAATAAAATGAGAAACTATTCATGTAGCGAAAAAGAAATTTTTTTTTATATAGAGTTTTATTCAAAGTTGAACTTTAAATGATTCGGATATTTATTCAAAGGTTAACTTTAAAACATGTATATGTTGCGAAAATCCCAATGCCTGTTCTATTATGTGAGAGGAGAGTCGGTTACTATCGAGGCCTAAGTCTGCTACTAATTTTTGCTGAGCGCTCCAGCTCTAAGGGTGCGTTTGGTTTTATAGAATTAGAATTGAAATTCTATGAATTGAAATTCCAAATCATTCCAATTCTTTCGTTTGGGAAATGCATAGAATTGATACGGAATTTATTTGGAATTCCAAATCCTTTGTTTGCATGAGAAAAGAATTCATTAGGAATTAGAATTGTTTTCATGAAACATTTGCTTACATAAAATTTTTCTTTTTTTTCCTTTTTTCTATATAATAATTTTTTTCTTTACATTTAGCTAATTTTTATTAAAGATTTGAAAGTAAAAACCAATTTGTGCCTTTAATAATTTATTTTTTCCCACTTTTATGTCAATTTCTTTTGTTCAACGTATGGTATAGATATTGGCATCCAACCAAAACTGGACCTCAAGCCCTTAAAAGTAAATCCCCAATGACACTAGCATATTTCTTAAAACATGGTAGAATATCGGACAGTGAATTACTCACAAATTACCTGACCGAAGAAAATAGTGAAAAAGAAGACAAAATAGAAAATAGCTCAACTTCTTCTACAAAAACAACTTCAACTGGAGATTACCAAAAAAAAAAATCAATTACCAATGTGCATCAATAGCCAATCCTTTTTTAAGTCATCTTGAAGACCAGAAAAAGTGTCATACTTTGTCCTGTCATTCATAAGTAAATCAATACCCTTCAACAATTGAAATCTATCCAATTCAATTTTAGATAACTCGTCTTCCACCATTTTAGTTGTAACTTTTGAACATTCTGAATTTAAGTACTTATCCAGTGAATCTGCCATTCGTCCCAACACCTTGTAAAGTACTTGAGAGCTCGTTAGTTTTCTCTTTGTGCCACGATCATTTGTTGAAGATGAAACTTTTGATTTTGACCGTTGTCGAGCTAGCAGTGCATTCATAACTTCATCTTCTAAAGATCGTGAATTAGTCTCAAATGATTCCTCTACATTAGCAGACTCTTCAACTTCAGTTTCAGCATTAGCCTCAAAAACAGTTTGGGCACCCTCTCCATTTGCACGATCTTGTGAAAACAGTGTACATATATCCTCCCAATTTTCAACCACAATTTTTTTTTCTATAAGGAAGAATTTTTGGATTCTCACTTACTCGAGCATTCCATACATCCTCATCACGAACATCAATTCTACCTCTAGAGTAGTCCCATATTATCGCAGACCCAGAGTTACATGACTGGAGCAGTGGGTATAGGATGTCATAGTGTTTCTCCCATGTCTTGAAACGAGATATAATATTAGCCTTTGTCACAGATATATTGAGCTTATCGAATAAAGCATTCATTACTGCGGTGTAGGCTGCTGTCTTCCATGCACATTTACCATCCAATTTGTTTCCTTGGTTCATTTGGTCAATAAAACAGGTGCCCATTACACGATCCATTTCAGAAGTCCAAGTGAAATACCCTTTGCCTTTCCCTTTTGACTGAGATGTTGCTTCAGATGCCATATCTGAGGCAGATATGCACCAGAAAAACATCACAATGTCATGTTCTTAAGAACATATTTAATAGCTACTGCATTATAGAACTAAAAATGAAAGGCAAATATGCACCTAGTCATGAAAGGCAATCGATCTCTAAACTTAAAAACGTGTTGGGCTGGACATTGATTTCATATCATTGAAGAGTAAATAAAGGGAAATGTCCATCAAAGGTAAACAAAATTCCTGTATTTTAAGTTCTATGACTATGGCTGGACATTCCAATTATCTGCTTATGCTGTCTTCAAACAAAACTAGAAAAAAATGATTTGCCTTAAATGTCGAATGAACTTTCAGTAAGAGAAGGCATCAAGATTCAGAAGTGATATTTATGCCTCAAAGATACCAATTATTTTGTAGAGAGCATGTTAGTCTCTTTAATGAGTAAGGAGAATTCTACACTTAAAAGAGCCAAAACTCAAATCAATATTCAATTTGCTCTTGTTGAAATTAACCTTCTGGTAATCATTCCTTCCCCCCTCTGAAATTCATCAATGCCACAAACTTGTGAGTTTCCAACAATCCCATGACCACCCATAATTTACTATAGAAGATTCACAGCACCAATTTAACCGAATATATTAAAAAAACCACCTGAAAAATGCAATCCAAACGGAATTGCATGCAGACGAAATTTATTTTGAATTAGGCAACATAAAAAATTTATGTAGTTGATTGAGCAGGTCCAATAATGAATAAGATTCAAAAGCAGCTGAATTTAGAAAAGGCGATAAGTGCATCATTCAAGTCTCCCCTAGAAAACTGCACAAGCAATAGTCTACTCAAAACAAAATCAGAAGTACACTGAAAAATTTGTTGCTCCATTTCAAAATTATATGAACATGTATGTATGATCAGTTGATAAAGAATACCAAAATATATATATGTGCATCCAATCTATATTCGATTACCTCCCTGAATGTTGAACTCTCTCTCTGGACATATATATGTGCATTTATGTTAGCCTCTACTGAGTTTAAGAAGTGGGAGGTTCATGGTGATGCCTTGACCAATGCGAATGTGCAAATGGGGTACCCTTTTTTTTCGGGAAGGAAAGTGGTTGGAAATCTGATTTATTTATGGTAAAGAAATGATTTTTTAGGATATCATAATTTCAAAATACATCTTAAGTCAACAGACTCGAAAAAGAACTCTTTGAACATTGAAAAAAAAAAAAGGATGATACTCGGGATAGAAAGTATTACCAAAGGATTTATATAGGCAAGGATAAGGAGATGTGGATGTTTTTCTGGATATGGAAAAGAAGATGCATTTGTTAGCTTTTTATGTAATATAAAAAAATGGTTTCACATATCAAAATAGAAATTAGGGGAGCTACACAGAGATTCTTGATTGAATTCAATCAAATAGCTTCATAACTATAGAATGTTTGTCAAATTTATAGAGGCAAGTTTTACGTCACACTCGAGGCTTATATCCCTCGACCGAAATTACAGAAATTTGGAGATGTTGCTGAGATCATCACTTATGTGCACAAAATTGTTTGGAGATGTCCTAAATTTATTCTAGTGACTTAAAGCTTCTGCTGGTAAGGATTTTCTAGCACACTGCAACAAAAGAAAGAAACAGAAAAGTCCCGACAAAGCTTTCTTTCTAAAAACAAGACTAATTGGCTACGAGAAACATCAGAATCCTTCTAAAGCCTTCTATGAGTCTCATCAAAAGGAAAGATTTGATGAGACTTGAATATAATTTAACTCACAAGACAGGAGTAGCGAAAGGAGGAGAAAAATAAGCGAAGTATGTAAATAGGGAGAGTTAAAGACGCTTACCAAGCAGCTCTTTCGCCTTTTTGTTGGGAATCTGGGAAGAAACCAGGAAGTTTTTGCAGCTTCAAGATGAACTGAGGTGCCCAGAAATGCCTACGGAGGCCCAGATAAAAACTGCAAAAGAAAAAAGGCGGTCACAGATCTTATGGCAGTAGAACTCGGATAGAAGTGCCCCAACAAAAAATTTGCAATTACGACTTTCAATCTCCAACCGAATTCGATCCCAAACACAAACTTCTAAAACATACAAAAATACGCGAACGACTTCCCGATTCCGATCTTAGTTCAGAACTGATATGACGGATGAAATGAAAGCTTGAATACTTAAATCTAATCGATTCAAACGAAAATAACAACGGATTCAGAGGTCCGTAGATTATACGTATACAGATACATGACTAACCCGTTTGAGCGGAGGCTGGAATGGTTATGGTGAGCAGTATCGAGGCCTGAAATGATGACTTGGAGAGATCTAGGCTTGTTTGCTTTGCTGGGTGCAATTTGGTTCGGCAATTCTCGATCCCTCTGGGTGTCTCACAAGCATTATCCTTCCTGGGTGTCTCACAAGCCCTAAATGTGTCTGAAATTTGGGGTGGACAGTGGCGAGAGTGGCGAAGGATGAAGGAAGTGGCCAGAGAAATGGAAGGCAGGGGGGAGACGGTGGTGGGAAAGGTAAGGTATTAGGATTGCAGGTGGAAGTGATGGTGGAGATCAGAGCCCTAGCGGCTGAGGAAAATGGTGAGTTAGACGGGAAGAAAGGGGTGTCAATATCTTTTGACCCGATTTTAATTTTTGACCCATACTAGATCCGCGCGTGGACCCGTTTAGTTGTGGAATTGGAATTGGAATTCTTTGGTCCAGCCAAAGAATTGGAACTATGGAATTCGATCGATTTAGAATTGTAATTCAATTCTAATTCTATAGGAAAGATAGTACCCAAACACAAGAATTGAAATTGGAGCTCCAATTCCAATTCTACACTCCAATTCTATAGGGAACCAAACGTACCCTAAATGTAATTACTATTTCTTTCATGTCAACAATGTTTTTTATTTGTAGATGATCAGGAGCTAGTAAGAAGGGGAGAAATTAGATAAAGACCTTAGACTGCCAATTTTTCTCATTTTTTCCTCCAGGGGAAGTATATGTAATTAACCCTAAAAGCAAATCCAACTTACTGTTTGGATAGTGTATTATTTGAAATATTATTTAGAATAATTACTATAGCACTTTTTGTGATATGATGTATGTGAGATAAAAAGGTGATTGAAAATATAAAAAAGTAAGTTGGGAAATGTGTTTGTGATGCAAGCAAAATATTATTTGGAATAATTTTGATATCCAAACACTTAAAATGGGCGGTCCATTTAGGTTTTGGCGCTGCGTTTACCATCACTGATTACTGTGCTCTCAGCCGAATAAATGGGCGGTCCATTGCAATTACAGTTGTATCATATTTACGCACACTCAAATTGTCGTGGTGGTAAATTGAGAAATCACCACACATATCTTCTGCCCTTTTAGTACAGCCACTAGCATTTAGGCACTCGTAGCCCGTCTGCAATAGGAAGTTAATCCTAGGTAGCTATTTTTTCCATTGGAAGCTATTTTTCTGGGTACAATTTGTCAAGCGTATGTGCCCAAGCAAAGCCTAAAATACTTGTTGCAATATGCACATTGCAACCCTTCGATCAAAAACTAGAATACCATCGGGGCTGAGGATGGACGTTGTCTTTTTTCTTCTTTTTTTTTTTTTTTTATAGAAAAAAGGAAAAAGAAAAATTGCGTCGAGATCAATTTAATAATATGGTTGGTTTTGGAAGATATTATCCTGGGAAACTCATGAAGTGCTAAAAGTGGTTTTAAGTATAAATTATAATCCGTGACTCCAGAAATATCAGGACCTACATGCACGTACTGTCACAGTCCAAGAAGAAGGGATCATAATTGCCATCCGTTATCACAATCCACAGAACACCAGAGAAGAGACCAAGCGCGTATGTTTGCCGCCTGCTTGATATACAGAAGCACAGCACGTTTTCATGTTTATCCTCTTAGTATTAATTATTATTAAGACTTTAAAAAAGAGTATACGGTTTATATCTGTAGCAGTAGACAGACCCTTTCGTGCGTGCTTGAAAGCGTTGGGAGTGATTGAGCCCCATCTAGAGAAATCGATGGAAACTGAACTATCATCGATCAATCGATTGGTGTGTATTAATTCGTATGAATTTAAGAAAAAGGTCACGCATAATGACACAACACATTGATGGGATGGGAGACAAGTTTCATGGCATTACCTTGCACCTTGAGATCACTAATAATATCAGCGAAGCCAACAGATTAAAATCCAATAGCACCAAAATGTTGAGAAAAGAAACACAACCGATTCAAGTGGGAATTTGGAATACACAACCGAGTTTTCTATAGTTTCAAAAGTGAGAAAAGAAAAGAGAATGTCAGTCATTGGCGGAGGGTGGGAAGTGGAAGGAACAAACGAGTCCCAATGGCAATAACAGGAAGGAAGAAACTCGTTAAGTAGGGGAGTATTAATTATACTACTACTACTCTTATTCAGTCTGCCTTTTTGCCGTCCGCCTGCTGCGATCTGTTCATTGCAGCTGAACGCTTGTCTTCTTCAATCTTCGAATGTATTTCATCCCTCTCCTTGAAATACCTCTCGAATGCCCTCGGAAGGAAACGAGGGATAAGAAAACAAAAGAGATTGACGAAGAAATACACAAAATTTGCAGCCGCCAGGCCCCTTCCGAACCAAAACCATGCGATGTCCTGGAACAAGCAATCAACGCAACTTGTCAGGATCACGACAAAATGCTATTTAACTTGCACCGTAAACACAATTTTCAATTACATTCATAAAAAAAATAATTACTTGAAATAATTTTTTTCCCAAATAGTCTCCGACGCAATTAAACACACCTATGCACGAGTTGAGTTTATGATCAATGCACTGCTCGACTTGCTTACCACTAATTTAATAATTAATCAAAAGCCACAAAATTGCTTTGCACAATTAATTACCCGGAATTCAGCATTTGCAGGCAAAGTTTTGTTAAGCCAGACGTCATGTATCCAATCAATGATGACGAAAATTCTCCTCACGGTGTAAAGCAAGGGGACTAGTGCTCTAACCGGAGGCGAGAACAACGAGAGCCCGCTTATAATGTTCTCGGTGAGTATCTGAAATGAGAGCAAGAAGAGGTGAGGGGTGGCTGACCGGACGGCATGCTCATCCCCTCTTGCAAATCCTCCCAGAACATAAGCTAAGGGCAAAAACAGGCCTACAGTAGTCCCCACAACTACATAAATTCGGAAGAGTCGACTTCCGCGGAATATCTCCTCCGACCCAGTTGTTATACCATGGGATGGAAATGCCAACCGGGAGAGTGCAATTAGATAAGCAGTGGTGAATGCGGGATACACGATGTCAAGGATGGGGACCAGGCCACTAGCAGAGAACACCATAATAAATGCAACTAATTGGAGCTCTATGAGGCGGAGGGATCCCATTACTCCTCCAGCCGCTGCCACCTGCTGCTGTTGCTGTGGTAGTGGCTTCGGCGCCTGCTGTAGGCGATGTTTTGTTCCGGAACCGGAGGTCGTGGTTGTTGTCGTTTGATCGTGCTCCGTACGGGGAGCCCCTGCAATTGATACGCCTGACATTTTCAGTTACTATTCTGCAGACGGACCAAAATGTTTTTTTTTTTTGGAAGGTGTGATGTGGTGGTAGATTTCTTCGCGCAATTAGCCCCTGCCAAAGAAACAAGAAATTTTAAAAAGATTAAAAGAAAAAAAAAAGCCTTTTTCTAAGCGTATCAAAACGACTACCATTTCTGGATACCAACAATGCTAGGCCTGGAATAACGGGGAACAATCAACAATAACAAATGTTGCAGCAGCAGAGAACCATATAAGGTCATGTCTTGTCTGGAAACACATACACCAAAAGAGTCGAGGGTCAAACATATATATAGGTACTGCAGAGCCCAACCAACCTGTATGTATAGCCCATCAATTCGTGTATTACCCGAGGCGTTAAATGTAGGAGCAAAAGTTTACCACTCGCTATTACGTTACGGGAGAGAGATGGGTCGGATGGTTTCAGGGAGGGAGCTTACACTAAAAAAAAAATGTGTGTATCATCAAAATGGCCCAGAACAAAATCAGTAGCATGCATGATTACTACTACTACCAAAAAAAAAAAAAAAAAAAAAAAAAAGAGAAAGAAAGAAAGAAGGAAGAATTAGAAGAAGCCAATGACGTGTTTCATAAACTCAGATCATATATATATATATATATATATAATCGAGAACTACTAAATTCATGCAAACTATGAGACACAGGAACATCAAATATGAAGACAGACTCACAACAACATACTAGTATTCCATATAATTGATAAAAACAGGTAATTCTCAAAAGGGGATTGAGATTCCAGACCAACTTACTCACTGCGCAAGTTAACAGCACGACGGATGGATGGATGGATAGATGAATGAGGGATCGGAGGAATAAGTGTTAATAAAATTGCAGCTACTGGGGTCAGAGGAGAAATTGAGAAGCAATTTAGGATCATATGATTGGTGAGTAGGAGGAGTTGTTTTGATGTCCAGTCCATATGTTGTCCGCGGAGCACTGAAACGTGTAAGCTGTTAGCGGAATACATGTTCTACGATCCACGTGGGTCCGTTATGAAACAACGCGTGGCAGCCTCAACCGCTTCGTTCGCTCCCTGTTGTGTGGCCGTAGCATTGTGAAACAAACAAAACTCATAGCAACCGGGGGGGGGGGGGGGGGTTTCTAAAAACAAAACAAAATCCAGCCTCCCCTGTTGTGTGGCCGTAGCATTGTGAATCAAAAAAGGACTCGTTTCAGCAACTTAGGTGCATTTGGATGGCATTTTTGTGGATTTTTTTTATATAAAAAAGTATTATAACGATTTGATATATGTGAGATAGAAAAGTAATTGAAAAATATATTCAGAAAAAGCGTAACAATATTTTTTTTTTAAATCTGCAACCCAAACACACCGAAGTAATAAATAGTAGCATTCCGTGCGTGCCATTAATAGAAAAATATCATTAAAATTTTAAGTAATTTTGTAGTATCATTTTTCAGAAGAATTGGTTTTCATATTTTTGACAATAGATATTCAAAAATTCACCGAAATAGATAGCTATTTAGAAATAATTCATGACCATTATTGGCATTTGATCGTATTAGATGGTTAGCAAGAGTAGCTTAGAAAAAATATAAAGTGACAAAAATTTATTTACACCAAAACTTTCCTCTTCCTTTATTTATATATAGTATGTATAGATATCGAAAAATTTTATAGTAATACAAACTACCATATGTTGGTGTAATTGAATCCGATGTTAAAATAATTTAAAAACAAAATCAGAATATGGAAGGATGGTTGTATTAGGATCGATGAGATACATTTGCCTCCTCTACTCTTAACACATTTCACAATCATATATGACATTTTACAAATAATAATAATAATAATCCAAATCTTTTACATTAATAGGTAAATTGTTATGGCGATTGCTCACTCAAATTTTGCCCTTTTGACTAATCTAAGTGTGATAAATTTGTCACGTCACTAATCTCGAACTTTGCTTAAAAAATTGTAGAATTCTCAATAGACATTGAAAAGTAGTGATGGCTTACAACTTCACAAGATTGTGAGAACGAACTCCTTTATTTCCTCCATAGGTAGAATATTTTTGCTATGTATCATCAGTTTGAGTGATTAGGGTTAAAACAAACAAAAGAAAAAAAAAAAAAAGGAAAGAAAGACCAATTGATCAAATCCATCAGACGGAATCGTCTGTCTATCATACCTTGTATATTCATTTTTCTGTCTAATATAAAATTATATAGTTCGACTTACTTATACTGCTGAACGGGCAACAAGCGTAAAAGAATGAAGGACAGAACTAAGGATGGCAACGGGGCGGGGGACCCCTCTCCCGCCCCCCGCCCCGTTGCCTATTAATTCCCCCGCCCCATCCCCCACCTCCCGGGGGCACCCGCAGGGTTAATAAAATTTTTTTTTCGTGGTTAATAAAATTTTATTATAGTTAAATTTTAATAAATAATCAAGTACTAAAATATCAACACATCATCAAGTTATTATTCATTGTAATTTTACAATTGAAACTCATAAAAACAATCAAACAATAGTTATTTGAATACAATCCAACATGATGAAATAAATACAATTAAAATAGTTAAGTTTTCACTTTTGGTACAAATACAATCACTAATTCATTATTGTGTTTGTGCTTTTTTTTTGAGAAAAAATGTTATTCTATTAAGTGTAATTAGAAATTTAGTATAAATGTATTAGTAAATTTAGTATAACGAATTAATAAATTCTATTAGTAGACATGTCTAATTATTCGTATAATTGATAATATCAATTATATTGCATACACTAATATACATTATATAATACATCTAACTAATAATATCATTATCATAAGTTTATAACTAATTAAATTACATATTATATATAATTATATATATAATTTTTTTTTGCGGGTGGCAGGGCGGGGGATGGGGCGGGGGTATCCCGTTTCTAAACGGGGGAAAAAATTCCCCCCCCCCCGCCCCTGCCCCACGCCCCACCCCAACCCCTGCCCCCGCCCCGAGAGCCCCCCGTAGGGCGGTTGCCCGCGGGCACCCGCCCCTGCCCCCGTTGCCATCCTTAGACAGGGGCAACTGCCCCCGTTGTCTAAGGTGCCCCCGGTGCCATCCTTAGACAGAACGACAAAGAAATTTATTGCCGCCTGTTACTCAAACCGGAGCACAGCCCTTAAACGTTCGTAATCATCCAGGGAGACGAGGATCATCGGTTTTTCTCATCTTCCTGATTTAGTTACTGCTGCTGTTATAGTATATGCCTAAGTACCCGATCGTACTAATTATCCGTCAAAAGGCTCAATTCAATTCTTAGCCATAAAATAGATCTCCTTAGTTCCACAAGAATTGCAAGAAACTTGGTAACGTATACTTTGTTAGGCATACCGTAAATAATACAAGCATTAGTCACCGAGGTTAACGACCAATTCGGAATTTGGATAGCCGTATTTAATCAATCAATTGGTACCATTACTATTTTGTACTCCCAAGTTTCCGTGTATCCATTGCTCAAAAGGCTGGCTTAACTCAAAGCTGAAGGATCAGGATCATCATCATCCACGAAATGAATCTCTATGTTTGGTAGTATCAAGGATTAACCGTTTAGCAGAGCATTTAATTATAATCAATGAGCTGAAATACTGAAAAATCAGCATTCTCCGTTTAGCAGCAGCATTATCATCAATTTCTTCCTTCCTCCCCCCTTCCCCCCACCCACCCCCCCGGGGGGCGAAATACCACAGAAAAAGAAAAAGAAAGTGATAATTTGGGGAAGAACCAATTTCGTACTACTTCCTCCTCAAGTTACCTGGTGGCACAATTCCACAGCATCCCGACTCAAGAATCAAATCCCATTTTTATGTCCATCAGAACCGTAGATCCAAATCCATGGTAAGCTGTTTCAAAAAAAAAAAAAAAAAAAATCCATGGTAAGCTGTTTACAGAAGCACAACCCCCAAAGCCAAAACTAATTCTAGAAAGAAGGCAAAGACAAAACATGCCATGTCATCACAAAATACTAACAAAATAACAATCTCCAATCCCACGCAGCACAAACTTGTGCAGCAGCTATACATGGCTCGACACTAGGCGTGTCAGTAGACAGCGGTAGTGCTTTCCCGGCAACTCAGTTGCGTTGCACCCTGCAACTGAGAAATGGGGAAGGTACTAAACTATTCAAGAAACGTTTCACAAATTAGTGCCAAAAGAAACGTTCACAAATTGGTGATCTTGGCCTTTCTACTTCCCTTACAAGAAACGTTCACAAATTAGTGCCAAAAGAAAAAAAATGGCGGAAAAAAAAAATTTCCAAGCCCTCCTCTTTTAATTCATTCCCACTATTTCTTTTTGCATTCTAACACATAGCAAGCACTCCATTACTGCTAGTCTAAAGTTTTCTGCCTCTTCAGTTTCCCCTGTTCACTTGGAAATTGGAATCCAACCCCCGCCCCCTTCTTCTTCTTCGAAAAAAAAAAAGCCTCGTAGATTACCACTATCATAGAGGTACTGACATTTATCGTGTTACATTTTGGCTTTGTGGATTTATATCAGATATATAAGCTCTTGATATTTTGAACTTGTTTTCTCGGCACAGAGAAAGAACGAGAAGGATCAGAATCCAGAAGAGAACAATTCTTTAGAGACTTCAGAGGTCAAAAGCAAAGAGGAGAATATGAGCCCAGAAGGAAATATTGTCCTGCAAGTTTATATTCATTGTCCAGGTTGTGAGGAAACTGTGGTCAAGAGCTTGAGGGGCTACGACGGTAAATTGAAAAAAAAAGATCCAGATTACTTTTGTGAATCTGTATCGATACATGGTTTTTTTCTTCTTTTTCTGTTAGTAATGTGGGTGAAAATGTGTAGGTGTCGAAGGAATTGAGGTGGATTCAAAGAATCATATAGTTATTGTCAAGGGAGAAAAGGCTGATCCCACGAAGGTGGCAAAGAGGCTGGGGAAAAAAAGCGGCAAATATGTTAAGTTGATCTCACCCATTCCGCCAAAGGACAAGAAAGAAGAAAAGAAAGAAGAGAAAAGAGAGGTTTACGTTGTTAGTGCTAATCTTACTAAATATGTCCAAATTTTGTGTTCATCAGTTAGATGTTAATCTTTGTTCAATCACATGTTTTACTTTAATCGAATTTGGTTGGTTGTTAATGGGATGTTTGTGCAGCCTAAGGGGGTTGAAGTGGTGCTTAAAGTGCACCTGCATTGCGAAGGCTGTGCCAAGGATGTTAAGCATTGCATCCATAAGATGCCTGGTATGCTGAACTTTCGTATATTGATAATTGGATTCTTTTACCCTTTTCCTTTTTGCCTGTCCACTTTGCATTAATTTTTCAGTTGAAATGTTAAAACTGGAACTGAGAGAGAGTGTCGTTGATTTATGGTTTGCAGGAGTACGAACTGTTGAGCCTAATATGGAGAAGAATATGGTGACTGTAAAGGGAGGAATTGAACCACAAAAGCTTGTGGAGTTTGTGAAGAAAAGAGCAGGGAAGCATGCTGAGATCGAGATTGTTAAACTAGAAAAGCAAAAACAAAGTGAGGACAAGAAGAATGGGAAAGAATGCGAGACTGAGAAGCATTGCAACAAGAGTGGTGGGAAAGAATGGTACGCCAATTTCTGCCCTGAACTTGTCTATGCCCCTCAATTGTTCAGCGACGAAAATCCCAATGCCTGTTCTATTATGTGAGAGGAGAGTCGGTTACTATCGAGGCCCAAGTCTGCTACTAATTTTTGCTGAGCGCTCCAGCTCTAAGTGTGATTACTATTTCTTTCATGTCAAGAATGTTTTTTATTTGTAGATGATCATGAGCTAGTAAGAAGGGGAGAAATTAGATAAAGACCTTAGACTGCCAATTTTTTTCATTTCTCATTTTTTTTCTCTGAAAGGACGAGAATACACATTCGTATGTG